CCGCCTCAGCCTTCCGAGTAGCCAGAATTACAGGCATGCGCTACCACGCCTGGCTGATTTTTTGATTTATTGTAGAGATGAGGTCTCGCTGCCCAGGTGGGTCTCAAACCCGCGGGCTCAGGCAATCCACTCACCTCAGCCTCCCAAAGGCGCGGGATTACAGGCTGAGCCACCTAGCCCGGCTCTTTCTTTCTTTTTTTAGTCAAATTCTCACTCTGTCACCCAGGCTGGAGAGTGCAGTGGCATGCTCACGGCCACCACAGCCTCGACCTGCTGGGCTTAGGAAATCCTTCCGCTTCGGGCTTCCAAGTAACTAGAACTATAGGTATATGCCATCATGCTCAGCTTTTTTTTGATTTATTGTAGAGATGAGGTGTCACAAAATTTCCCAGACTGGTCTCGAACCCCTGGGCTCAGGCAATCCTCTTGCCTCCTCCTCTCAAAGTGCTGGGAGTACAGGCATGAGCCACAGCGCCCATCTCACCTGTGATTTCCATAGCAATGGGTGATGTGGTGACTATAGTACATCCCAAAGCCTCCAGCCTAGTGATCAGCCCTACAGTTTAATCTGTGGTCATTCATTATATACAAGTATATCATGTTTACCTCTGGTCTGTCCATCAGTTCTGCCCCTTGCTGTCTACTCCTACTGCCCCTGGTCACCCTCTGCTATTTCTCACCTGCATTCTGACAGTACTGTAGCTCATTATTGATTATCTTGTTCCAGTCACTGCATGTTTGTAATCTAGCCTAACAGTTCTCAGAGCTAATCTTCTGAAAGATGTATCATGTCTTATCTTGCTACTACTTCTGATTCTTTGCCTCTTGTTTTGGACAGGATTCAGTCCAAGCTCCTTTACGTGGTATTTAGTGTCCTTCATAGACTGGCACTTGCTTGCTTTTCCAGGCTAACCATTTCTTAGTTGCATCTAGTCTCCTGCCAGACCAAACTAGTTGCCAGTCCCCTAAACATGTTGAATAATTTCACCCTTTTATAATTCTGTTCCTTCTTCCTAGACAGACTGCCTTTCATCAGTGTTTTAGGCTCGTACTCCTCCTTCAAAATCCAATTTAAAGCTGGGCATGGTGGCACATACCTGCAGTCCTGCTATTAAGGAGGCTGAGACAGGAGGATCACTTGAGCCCAGGAATTTGAGGCCAGCCTGGGCAACATACTCTTATTTCTTTAAAAAAAGACCCAGTTCAGATGTTTTCTGTGAAGCTTTCCTGATCCCATTCCCACTCTAATAAAATGGTTTCTTCTTCATTCCTACCACAATACTTCACTCATTATAGTTCTTGATATTTAGCATTGTAATTCCATATAATAAGTCTGTCTTTCTCATCTGTCATATTCTTATAGCAGGGTACTTGGTACATAATAGGCAGCCGAATGTGTATTAGGAAAAGGAATTACTTATTCCCATTAGTAGTGTAAGGATTCAGATAATTTAGATCTTAATCATAAGCTAAAACAGGAGGAGTGTGGCAAGGGGTTAGAAGAGTTTAGCAATCACCAGCTCTTTCCCCTATCTGTTCATGGCAGTCCTGTCACTTTGCACTTTCCTCCTTTACCTTGCAGGTGGTGAGGATCCAGGAAAGTCAAGCCATGTCATGTTAAAGAATGGCCATACCACCCCTATAGGGAGTACCAGATCTTCTAGTCCAGTCCAAGTAGAGGAAGAGCCTGTAAGAATAGCAAGTCTTTGGAAACCCATTCCAGAAGAGGAACCAAAGAAGCGCCTTGGTAAGAAACTAGATTTTCCCTTTTGGGAGTCATGCCCCAGTCATTCTTATTTACCTCAAGGGTTTGCAAAAAAACACAGAGAATTGAATTAAAATCTAGGAGGAATTACCTTTTCCTTTAGCAACTTTCTAGTGGCATTCCCTGCCACATTCTTGCATTCACAAAATACTTTAAGGATACCTGATCTCAAACCGGGCAAAGTGAGGACCAAAGGGAGGCCCAGACTTTATCTGTTCAATGACCACTTGTATACCTAATCCTGAATTGTACCCCACATATTTAAAATAAAATTTTAAAAATTAAAAAATTTAAAAATGCTTAAAGAAGGGAAGAGGATGTTAAATACTGGATACCTATAGGGTTTCTTCCTTTTTTTTTTTCATTCCTTGGTCCCCTGCTGCCAGTGTCATGAGTCGCTCCGCTGCGGACCAGAGCCCCCAGCCATAGGAGACCGCACCACACACCTGCCCCTGCCCTCCCCCATCTGCGCCGGATTTTTTCAAGCTACACATTCCTCTTCATCCACCCAAGGAATTTTGATGTGCCTCCCCCAGTAGCCTGGCTCTTGTGTAAAGAATCACTACTATAAAATAATCATCTCTTACACATTTCTTTCTTTCTTTTTTTTTTTTTTTTTTGAGTTGGAGTCTCACTCTGTCGCCCAGACTGGAGTGCAGTAGCCGCTCCCGGCCACCGCAGCCTCGACCTGCTGGGCTCTGGCGATCCTTCCGCCTCAGCCTTCCAAGTAGCTGGAACTACAGGCACACACTACCACACCCGGCTAATTTTTTATTTATTGTAGAGATGAGGTCTTGCCAAGTTGCCTGGGTGGGTCTCGAACCCGCAGGCTCAGGCAATCCACTCACCTCGGCCTCTCAAAGCGCTGGGATTACAGGCTGAGCCACTGAGCCCGGCCTACACATTTCTTAAGTATGTTGAGGTTGTGAAACTTGAGAACTATAAACTAATCTATAAATTAAATAATTGATGAAGTTGACTGTAAATCCATAGATGTATTAGCCTTTTCAGTCTCTCTTATTACTCTCTCTTCCCTTTTATATCACTTGTTATTATACAGGCTCAACCGGAAGTCAGCCTAATTCTGAAGCTGAGTCTGTTCCTGAGAATGTACCCAAACAGCCTTTATTTCCTCCCAAAAGACCCTTGTCCTCTTGTCACGAAGCAAGTGATGGGCAAGCAAAGGATGCCACTTCCCCTAGCAGCACAGCAAGGCCCATCTTCTCCACCTCCAGCACTGCAGTACCTGCTGCCACAAACTTAGCAAAGACTGTTAATTCCTCTGTGACTCCTTTCCCAGCACCCAGGACTCTGCCTGCTGCTCCTGCCAGCACTAACACTACTGCTACCCCTAGCCTCCCTTATACAGTCCCTGCCAAGCAGCCCCCTGTCCCTCCCCCTAAACCAGCTCACAGAAATAGCAATCCTGTCATTGGTAAGTATGTCTTTAGATTTCTGGTGTTTTTTGTTGATTTGGTTTTAGATGGTTATTTTATTGGATAACTGATACAGCATTGATTTGGACTTTGAGAGTTTTCCATATCTTGTCCCTTTGAATGTCCTTAATGTAAAAGCAAAGTCTTAGGTTGAGGGAAAATGTATATAGAAAGAAAATCTTGAAACTGAAGCAGTTGGCATAAATGGAAACATCACTAAAATTAGGTTTACGTTTGGGAGGATTTATATCTATGGTGTTTCCAAAACACTATATATAGTTGGGGAACTGGATATGTGAAGGCCATAACAGATTTTGACCTGCATGGAGTATCTATAGCACTTACTGAAAAAAATTAAAGTCATGCCATGCTTACAAAGGGCAAGGCAAACTTTTCAAGTGAAAAGTTTTTTTGTTTTTTTTTTTGTGAGTTGGAGTCTCACTCTGTCGCCCAGACTGGAGTGCAG